TACTTAAAAGAAATAATCCAAAGCTACAAGACTAGACTTGACTAAGCTAGAGAAACATAATGGAAGTACATGAAATAAAACTACTCTATATTTACAATGAAAATGACTTAGTTTTCTATAAGGCAGCAGCAGGTCCGTTGTCAACAGCAGTGTCTTTGGCACCATGGTCTGCGCGCACGGCGTTGTCTGCGCGCAAAGGCGCTGTTGCCTTCTGCCTGCGGCTTGGCGCTGGCGAGGGATATCGGTGGGGCGACAGAGGCACCTGCGCGCTTGTCACTTGGCGCGGCCAAGACCACGGGGCCGTCCGTGGCGCTAGGCATTGGGAGGCTTGCTAGGACGCCACGGGGCGCGCCCAAGGGGTCATGGGGCATGGCTGGAAAGCCGCCATGACAGTGAGCATGAATGTCTAGTTCACTTACATATTGGCTTATGCATGTAATGACCATTCTGTTAAGACATTTGATATCAAATTTGTTTACATAAAGAAGGTGCACCTTAACAGAGTTACCTGATACATGTTGTTGGTAGGAGATAACAGGTATCCTATGAAATTAGCTGAGGCGCGCGCAAGCTAGCACGGACACCACGGTTATCAAAAATAGAAAGGTGCACCTCAAATGTATTACTCCATCCGTCCTAATATATGTAGGGCACTCTCTCTTATCTATATATTATTAAAAGGAGAGAAAAAAGCCTTTAAATTAAGCCAAGTGGCGACCTCACAATAGGCCACTTGGCAATTTAGGACAAAGTTTAGTTAGGTTATGTAATAATTATTCTTTTTGGAATTTAAATTTTAAAAAATTTAAATTATGCATTATGTGTAGTTAATAATTAGTTATTCTCTTTGAGTTAACAAATTTGGAGTTTCAAAATTATACTAAAATAAAAAACGAAAATAAGAAAAACAAATGTGCCAATTCAAATTGGGGAGTACTTACTTCCTAATATGGTAGTCTATATCTATAAAATACAACAAATATTTCTTTCGTTATAGAAAATAATTTGATTTTAAATTTAAAGATAAAAGGCCAAAAAATCACTTATTTTGGACCGGAGGAAGTATTGAAGAAGAAGAAGATACAGAGGGTTGAAACCAGTGAAGCCATGAGATCACAGAGGATGAGGAAATGGATTTTTTTTTCTTTTCTTTTTTGACTTAACACTCTGTTTGGATCGTTGTTCCATATCGTTTTATAATGTATTGTATTGTATTGTATCGTATTGTACCGTATCGTTTTATGAATACAATGTTTGGATAGATTGTATTGTTTGTTATTGTTAAATAATATTTTGTTGTTTGGTTTGACTGTATCGTGCTGTACTGTAACTGATAAGTTTACTAAAATACCCTCAATTGTTTAAATATTAAATTTATCAAAATTATGTATAAAAATAATTTTAAAAAACAAAACAGAAGAAGGCAAAATACAATAAGGAAGCAGAACAAAGGAGCGAGACAGAAAAAGGCAAAACAAAGGAGCACAACTAATTAGAATTGAGTTACAAGCAAATTAGGAGAAAAAAATAAAACAGGAGGCAACAAAACGCCTTTAACATTGGTCTGGAAAAAAACAAAGTAGGTTATAAGTTGGAGAATTGGAGCTAAAATAGAAAAAAGATAAAGGGTAAAATAGAATTATGGAGTAATAAGTTAAGGCATAATTGGAAAGAAAAATAGGAAACAATCCCGCCACATGTTTCAAAAAAAGGGGACTTCTCATTGTTCCGGAACAATGGATTTAACAATACAATACAACCAATTTTAATGATACAATCAAAACAGACATTGTTTTGAGATAACAATACAATACAATACAACGAGGAACAACCATCCAAACAAGCTGTTAAGGGTTAAGGTAAATTTCAACTAGGTATAGGTTCAACAGAGGGAATCCAAGGAAAGTTTATTAGTGTCAGACTAGTATAATCTATTCTTTGTCCCTCAAAGTAATGTTGTGAAATATTTTAACCCAATAATCTATTTTATTTGACACTTGAGGACCATTTTGGATTTGGT